GCGTCGAGGAGCGGGGCAGTCGACTCGCAGATGGTTTCTGACAGGGAGTTGCTAAGTGACCACTGCGTGCCGTTCGAGACCTGGTTTCAAGATCTGGGCCGGCGTGGCGCCGCTTTTGGGCCCCGAGGAACGCGACCAGTTAAGGGCATCCGACGAGGCCGCGGGGGCAGAGTTAAATCGACCCGGCGTCCTCCGCGCGGCGTCGCTGACCGAGTCTCAGCGCGCGGGCAAGACCATTCCCGACAGGGTCTTGTCATCGAGGACGGTGCGTTATTGGAAGGGCCAAGGGGGCGCCTTCAGCGCCGAGATGGCCGAGCGTCGCTGGCGCGCGCGGGTTCCGAGACCCCGGCGCCGAGAAGTGGATCATCACCGACTCCGCAGTCGGAATCAACGCTGATATTTGCCATGGTTATGTCGTCTTGCGACATGGGGCAGGCCGTCGTGGATTGCAAGAAAGCGTTCAGCCAGCCCCGTCCGCTGAAGCGTTCGGGCGCCCTGGTCTACGCGGCCCCCTGCGACGATCTTGCAGGAGCTCATGTTCCAGAGGGCTGTCTGATCGAGCCCGAGGTGGTGTCGCGCGGGCTGGGCGACGCGCCGCGGGAATGGCGCGTCGCTCTCACGCCCTCCCTTCCCGACCTGGGCATCCGCGAGCTGTTGCTGGGGCCCTGCTATCGGGCGACGCGCGAGAGGGGGCGGCCGGTGGCCCAGGTGCTGATTGAGGTTGGCGACCCGCGGCTCGGCTTCCTCGGCGGTCGCGCGAAGCGGTTGCACGAGAGCCCCCGGGGGCCGATCCACCTTAAGCAAGCGGCGCGGGGGCGAGGCTGAGCTCGCAGGCAGGCGCGCGCGCGAGAAGCGACACCGCATCCGTGTCGGCCAGGAGAGGTACATCCTTGAGGAGCTCAAGACGGTGCCTCTCGATCGCGGCCGTAGATCCCAGAGACAGAGTCCTTTGTCCCCCGCCGAGTTCACGCTTCTCCGCTCTGGAGCACGCCGGCTGAACAGTGTTGCCAGGGAGTCTCGGGCAGAGATATCAGGAACAGCTTCCTTCTTGGCAAGCAGTCTGGTCTGAACCATGTTACGATCGAGGGCGTTCATCTGCGCAACAAGGCAGCGCAGCTCAAGCGAGACACTGCAGCGCAGTATTTCACGATTTGGAAGCATTTTCTGAGCCAGGTGGTGGCCATGACGGCATGGCGGCCAGCATTGCTGCTGGCGTAAGTACCGAGGGCCCGGCGCAGAACGCTCGGCTCGATGCGATAGCAAATTCCCAGCTTGCCACTGGCCAGCCCGCTCGTGCATGAGCGCTCTCCTGGAGTTCCTCCAGGATGAAGCGTGCTGCCAACTCTTCTCTTGCAGTCGAAGCCCACTCTCTGTGTCAGGCCGTTGCGGAGGCGGAGTGGATGCAGCCGATGCTTCGCAGGGCCCGTTTGGCGAGGAACCCTCCACCGACTGGCGTCGGGATGTGGGACCTTTTGTTTCTGTGTTGAGGAGCTCTCGTGAGCTCCAGAATCCTTTTTGTCCAGGGGTGCGCGCTTCGGACGCAAAACCGATGTTCGATGCCCTCTCCAAACAATGAGCCGGCCGCAAAGAGGATCGACGGACGTCAGTCGATCTGGCTATCATCAGATATTTTTTTTCTGCTAACAGCTCGCGTGCCACATGGTTGCCCCGTCTTGTAAATCCAGCGGACACCCTGACCAAGGCTGACGTAGCCAAGGGTCCCCGAGGCTCTCCTCGCACATGCTCAGGGCGGGGATTTAGGCCTTGACCGGCGCCGAGGAGGAACGAGATGTCATGGCCGCCGCCGGTGACAAGCAGCACCGAAGCATGGAAGCCAGCCGACGTTACCAGACGGCCAGGGATGTCCGATTACAGTCTATGGGACAGCCAGATCTAATTCAGGGGAGTTGCTGACACAATTCCTGCACCTGTCTGTCTGTCTGTCTATGTTGCTTGCCTTTGCAATATTGCCTTGCGCACCTGCGCTCGTGTCTTGTTTGGCCATTGTTGAGATGGCTCAAGGCTTTCTGACTAACAGTGACAAGCAGATCGTGCAAGGCGTCGCGATTGTCCGCCCGACCCCCGCGTGCCAACACTACAGTGACAGCGACGACGATGATGCTGATGATGATGCTGATGCTGATGGTGGCGGTCATATCGATTATGATCGTTGCTCTGCTGGTGATGACGGGGATGCTAATGGTGGTCTCCATGCTAACGACGCTGGTGCTGATGGTGCCTGTTTTGATGGTGATGGTGATGAGGATGATGATGACAGTGCTGATGAGGATGAGGACGATGAGGAGATATGGAGATGAGGTCGGGGACGAGGTTTGATGGTGAGCAGGAGGAGTACGATGAGAATGAGGAGGAGGAGGAGAGGGAGGAGGAGGAAGAGGATGTGGAATGACGGTGAATGATGAGGACTGCTGGTGATGACGATGATGATGATGATGATGATGATGATGATGATGGTGATGATGATGGTGGTGGTGGTGATGATAACGATTGTGCTGATGATGATGGTGATGATGGCTATGATTGTAATGCTGATGATTATGGTGATGATGCTGTTGGTGACGGCGATCTCGATGACGATGATGTTTCTGCTAGTATCGTTACGATGGTGACGTTGATGGCGCTGTTGATTCGATGGCGACAGCGACGGTTGACGATGGCGACGACGTTGATCACGCGATTGCTGACGGCGATGATGGCAAATGACGAAAACCATCAGGAACCTGATGATGCTGATGGTCATGGTGCTTGCCATGCAAAGGTTGACGCTGAACTGGCCGATGCATATAGCGTTGGCGAGATCGATCATGATGACGACCGCGACGATGATGCTGTTGACGAGGCTGGTGGTAGTAACGATGACGAGGACGATTGCGACGAACACGGTGAAGATGAGGATGATATTGATGATGTTGGTCATGATGTTGATGCCGATGATAGTCATGATGATGATGATGATGATGATGATGATGCAAATGATGATGATGATGACGGTTGTGATGACGATGATGATGATGATGATGATGATGATGATGATGATGCTGATAGTGCGGTAAATGATGTTGATGTCGATGATTATCGTGACCACGGTGTATAACGATAATGACGATGCGGATCTTGATGCCTTTGCTGGTGATGGTGACATTGTTTATGGTGGTGACCACGGGGACTCCGAATATGATGATGATTATGACGCTGCTGCTGATGCTGATGCTAGTGATTATGGTGATGCTGATGATGGTGATCATGATGATGCTGACGATGCTGATGCTGATGCTTGTAATGCTGACGAAGATGATGATGCTGCTGATGCTGATGATGACGATGTTGATGCTGTTGTTGGTGGCGCTTATGATGCTGCTGCTGATGCTGATGCTGATGGTGGCGATGCTGAGGATGTTGATGCCGCTGCTGATGATGATGACGATGAGGATGATGATGATGATGAAAGTGATGCTGAGGATAGCGATACTGACGATGATGATGATGAGGATGACGATGATGGTGATGATGATGATGATGATGATGATGATGATGATGATGATGATGTTAACGCTATTGATGATGTTGCTGAGTATGTTGATGCTGATGAGGATTATGATGCTGCCGATGACCACGACGATGGTGATGCTCCTGATGCTAATGATTTTTCTGATGATGATTGTGATGCTGCTGATGATGACGATGACGCCGCAGATCATGATACTGCTTCTTCTCATGCTTATCATCATATTGATGTTGACGACGGCACTGATGATGCTTACGATGATGCCGATGATGCTGTTGAAGATGCTGATGCTGATGATGGTGATGACGATGGCGATAATGACGATGGTACTGCTTCTGCTGATGTTGACAAGGACGACGCCGACGACATCGACGAGGATGCTGCTGATGACGACGATGATGCCAGTGATGATGATGTTGATGCTGATTCTGATGATGGTGATAATGACGCCTATGGTCGTGGTTTTGGTAGTGTTGATGGTGGTGAAGATGATGATAGTGTGGTTGCTGCTGTTAATGATGACATTATGATGATGGTGGCGGTGGTGCTGATGACGATGGTGATCTTGAGGAGGGGGAGGAGGGGGAGGAGGAGGAGGAGGAGACGGCGGAGGAGGGAGAGGAGGCGTAGTTGGAGTAGAAGGATGCGGTGGAGGAGCAGGAAGGGGATGTTGACGATGATTGATGATACTGTTGCTTATGCTGCTTCTGATGATGAGGATGATGATGATCATGCTGATGCTGATGCTGATGATGACGATGATGACGATGATGATGCTGATGATGACGATGCTGATGATGATGATGCTGATGTTGTTGATGATGATGATGCTGCTGATGCCGATAATGATGATGTTGATGATGCTGATGCTTATGATGATGATGATGGTGATGGTGATGGTGATGGTGATGGTGATGGTGGTGATGATGCTGATGATGATGATGCTGCTGCTGCTGATGATGATGATGATGAGGATGATGATGATGATGATGATGATGATGATGATGATGATGATGATGATGATGATGATGATGATGATGATGATGATGATGATGATGATGATGATGATGATGATGCGCCTCTGTCGCTGCTGCGAGGAGGGTCGCGCGCTCGCCTTCCCGGCGCTCGTGCAGGGCCCTGGGCTGTGTCAGAGCCCCTGTTCTTCGTTTCGTTTCCCTTCCCTGCTTGCTCACGATCGTCAGTTCGAAATATCGAAGCAATTCTCCGCCCTCCCCTGGCCCCTCCCCCTCCCCCTCCTCCCCGCTGCTCCCCCTAAGCTCATCCCCGCCCCCCTGCTCCCTCCTTCACCGCTCCCTCCCTCCCCCCTCCTCCCTCCTCCCCTGGCTCCCTTCGCCTCCCCCCTCCTCCCTCCCCCCTCTTCCCTCCCCCTCCCCCTCCCCCACCTTTTCCCCTCTCCCTCCTTCCGAGGCTGCTCCCCCCTTCCCCGCTGCACCTCCCTCTGCCCGATGGCGAGGCTCTGGGCCTGCTCGGAGCCCTCTTCGAGAGCCCCTCGAGCGGCGCCAGGGCGCCCCCCACCCCACCAGCAGGAAGGCGAGACGCAGGGAGAAGCAGGCAGGAGGAGTTGGAAGATGATGATGATGATGATGATGATGATGATGATGAGGAGGAGGAGGAGGAGGAGGAGACGCTGCCGGAGCCTCACCGGCCCTGTCGTGGCGGCGCCGCTTGGGGGAGCATATGGCAGGGTTTCCAGGGGGGCCCCTGCCAGACATCGTCGACGCCCACGGCTTCGTGGATGTAATGCCCGCTGTTGTAGCCGCCCCATAAGCACATAAGGCGCTCCTGCGGCGCTACAAACGGGAGGTCATCCGCACGGCGCTTCGCTCCCACGATCACGCGGAATACGATGCTGTGGCGTGGCGCCCTCTGCCAGGCTTTGGTGCCCCATTTGCGTCATTCCAGCTGGACGCAGCGTTCGACACGGCGTGGGCTGCGACCTTTAGAAGATGTGGGTACACTACATTCCCATGTGTGGGGTGGCCTTTGCCCGTCTTGGGATTGGAGGATGCGCCTGGACGCCTGGATCGCTGTAGGGTATGTACTTGTCAGGCAGTGTGTGTGTGAGTGTGTTTCACTCATGGCTTTGGGGCGTGCATGGGCACAGTGGGCCTTCGCGTGGAGCTGTTGCGCAGCGCCCCCATGCCTCGCGGGCATGGGCGGGGTCCTGCAGGCCCTCTTCGGGCCCACGCGCGGCCCAGAACAAGTGCGATTTGTGGCGCGCGCCTTGCTTGATTGCGGGAGGCATGCTGTGACTCCGGCAGCGGGGGGCGCTGGCGTTGAGGTTGCCGCAGGGGCGTGGGTTTGACATACATGGTTGCTGTGGCTGCTGCTGACGCCCGTGCAGGGCTGGAGGGTGAAAGACCCTGGCCGCGCTCCAAGCGGGCGCGGCCCTTCCGCGGCCCGCGCGCGCGGGCGCGGGAGCGCCAATGCGTATGAAACCGAAACACCGAGAAACCGAGGAAGAGGAGGAGGAGGAAAAGGAAAGGCGGAGGAGGAGGAGGTGCAGGAGGAGTAGGAGTAGGAGGAGGAGGAGGGCGGAGGAGGAGGAGGAGGAGGGGGAGCTGGCGGAGGAGGTAGAGGAGTAGGAGGACAACGGGGGGGGAAAGAAAGGAGTAGGAGGAGGACGAGGAGGAGGAGGAGGAGGCGGAGGCGGAGGGGGAGGAGGATGAGGAGGATGAGGAGGAGGTGGAGGAGGGGGGGTGGAGGGGGATGATGATGATGAGGAGGAGGAATCATATACATAACAACGACAAGCGCACACGAATAATACGAATTCAAGCACGAGTAGTCATACTACGCTCGGTAATGATCTTTATAGGAACCGTATCAACCATCATGCTACGACTAACAAGGCAACTGATACGGCTAATAAGACGATGGCTACTATTGATAATACGACTAAACCTAGCAGTACCAATCAATGTACGAACAGTAAGGCTACCAACCAACATGTTAGTCGTAGTCGTAGTCGTAATAATTGTAGCAGTAGTAGTAGTAGTAGTAGTAGTAGTAGTAGTAGTAGTAGTCGTCGTTGTAGCAGCAATCGTAGTAGTAGTAGTAGTAGTAGTAGTAGTAGTAGTAGTAGTAGTAGTAGTAGTAGTAGTAGTAGTAGTAGTAGTAGTAGTAGTAGTAGTAGTAGTAGCAGTAGTAGTAGTAGTAGTAGTAGTAGTAGTAGTAGTAGTATTAGTAGTAGTAGTAGTAGTAGTAGTAGTAGTAGTAGTAGTAGTAGTAGTAGTAGTAATAGTAGTAGTAGCAGTCGAAACATTAGTATCGAGATCAATGCCACTAATAATGATACTACTAGGACTGGTCATACGAATGCGAATGCGGAAACGAGTAATCTTATCACGAACATGAAGAACACGCGTACTAGTACAAACACCATGAAAACTAATTCGATTAATAATCATCATACGGCTAATGCGAATACTATGAGGAGGAGGAGGAGGACGGATGAGGAAGAACAGGATGATGAGGAGGCGAAGGGGAGGGAGGAGGAGGAGGAGGAGGCGGAATAATGATACTAATACGTAGCAGAAGACGGCGGTTCATATTCAATAATAACAATAATCACAGGGCGAGGCCAATTACTGACCGCAATCAGAAGACCACGAGTCATATGAATAGGCGTAACAATACTCATGACGTTACCCATGTTATTGGCATTCGTAATAGCAGTCGCGCAAGAAGGCTAATACTGACCAAAGAATCAGAATCCGACTGTTGTCACGGATACTAACAAGAAGGGTACGAAAAACGAACGCCCATAAACAGTAATAACGATACCGGTACTCATGACAAACAGAAAAATGGTACGCACACTACGAATATGATCACGAACATATATAGGCATAATGATACGCATCATAATAATAGGAAGGCCACTGCTACGACGACAATTAATACGACCACGCAGAGGAGGAGGAGACGTAGGAGGTTGGGGAGGAGGAGGGGGAGACGGAGGAGGCCGATGAGGAGGAGGACGAGGAGAAGGAGGAGGCCGATGAGGAGGAGGAGGAGGCGGAGGAGAAAGAGAATGAGGAGGAGGCGGAGGAGGAGGGGGAGAAGGATGAGGATGAGGAGGACGGAAGGAGGCGGAGGGGTGGGAATAGAGACAATTGGGGATGATGATGTTGTTGATGATGATAATGATGCTGATGTTGATGATCATGATGTTGATGATGCTGTCGATTCTGCTGATGATGGTGATGATGTTGATGCTGTTGTTGACGATGCTGATCATGCTGATAATGCGGCTGATGTTGTTGCTGATGATGCTGCTGATGCTGTTGATGATGACGCTGCTGCTACTGATGATGAGTATGGTGATGCTGATGATGATGAGGCTAAGGACGCGGCTGCTGCTGCTGATGATGATTGGGTGTTGGCGGTGGTGGTGATGGTGATGCTGAGGAGTCTTACCATGCTGTTGATGACGATGCTGCTCATGATGATCATAAGGACGACGGTGATGTTGATGACGATGCTGCTGATGATGCTGATGATGATGATGACGATGCGGATGCTGATGATGATGATGTGGATGGTGATGCTGATGCTGATGATGCGGCTGACGATGATGATGATAGTGCTGCTGCTGATACTGATGCTGCTGATGATGGTGATGATGCTGATGCTGCTGATGATGTTGTTGCGGACGATACTGATGGTGGTGTTGATAATGATGATGATGCTGCTGATGTTGCTGATGATGAGGTTGTTGATAATGATGGTGATGCTTACGCTGCGGGTGCTGATGATGGTGCTGATGATGGTGATGATGATGCTGGTGATGCTGATGATGATGCTGATGTCGATGACGATGCTGATGCTGACGATGCTGATTCTGACGTTGATGGTGCTGATGATGGTGGTTATGATGTGCTTGATGGCGCTGCTGGTGATGATGATGGTGCTGCTGATGAAGATGTTGACGGTGATGTTGATGATGATGGTGATGATGACGATGGCGCTGCGATTGCTGATGGTGTTGATGCTGCTATCAATAATGATGACGACGAGGACGATGTTGATGAACAGGACGATCATGATCATGCTGATGATGTGGCTGATGATGAGGACGATGCTGCTGCTGAGGCTACTGGGGACGACGATGCTGATGCTGATGATGCTTATGATTCTGATGCTGATGCTGATGGTTACGGCGATACTGTTGCGACTGACGACGAAGGTGCGAATGATGCTGGTGGTGCTGATACTGTTGATGATGATGATGGTGCTGCTGCTGATACTGATGCTGCTGATGATGGTGGTGATGCTGATGCCGCTGATGATGATGTTGCTGACGATACTGATGGTGGAGCTGATAATGATGATGATGATGCTGCTGATGCTGCTTATGATGAGGTTGGTGATACTGATGGTGATGCTTACGCTGCGGGTGCTGATGATGGTGATGACCTGATGTTGATGCTGCTGCTGATGGTGGTTATGATGTGCTTGATGGCGCTGCTGGTGGTGATGATGGTGCTGCTGATGAAGATGCTGACGGTGATGTTGATGATGATGGTGATGATGACGATGACGCTGCGATTGCTGATGGTGTTGATGCTGCTATCAAGAATAATGACGACGAGGACGATGTTGATGATCAGGATGATCATGATCATGCTGATGATGTGGCTGATGATGAGGATGATGCTGCTGCTGATGATACTGGGGACGACGATGCTGATGCTGATGATGCTCATGATTCTGATGCTGATGCTCACGGTGACGGCGATACTGTTGCGGCTGACGACGAAGGTGCTGATGATGCTGATGTTGCTGATATTGATGATGATGATGACGACGAGGCTGTTGCTGATGGTGGTGGTGATGATGCTGATGATGGTGCTGCTGATGCTGGTGCTGATGGTGATGCTGATGTGATGCTGCTCATGATGGCGATGAGAACGATGCTGCTGCTGATGATGATGATGTTGCTGCTGCTGATGAGGGTGATGTTGTTGGGAGGAGGAGGGGAGGAAGCGGAGGCGGAGGAGGAGGAAGGTGAGGAGAGGAAGGAGGAGGAGGAGGAGACATGATAAGGAGGATGAGGATGAGCATGCGGAGGCGGAGGAGAAACAACATCAAAAAGAAGACAATTAGTAAGCATAAAACGGATCAGAAGAAGAGCCGAATCGAGAGAATAAAGCGAGACGAGTACGACAACGACAACGACGATTCATTCCAATACTTCGAATCTGAGGAATAATCGTAATCATCAGACGGGCGTTATTAATAATAGGCATAGCAGTATGATTCACAATGGAAATACTGATACGAATTCTAATGGTACCTAATCCTGACAGTGATGCTACTCCTAATAAGAACAATCATACTACGACTAACACGAATCATATGAATAGCAGGAATGCGAATGATACAAATATGAATAGCAATATCACAATAATCATGACACAATTAATGTTAAGACGACGAAGATGCGGAGGATGCTGATGATGAGGCTGATGATGATGATGATGATGATGATGATGATGA